AAGAGTATTGCTGAGTCAGAGTGCAGGCAATTTAAAGTATCTGATGTGTATCCTCAACCTGTTGCCAAAAAGTGTGGACCAGCAAACAGCGCTCACATGTCCTCTCTATTCCTAAGTTGAAGCGTGATCTGTATCCATACGTATGTGTGCAAATATACATGTCTATGAAATATATACACATTTTCAGTGTTGGAAAGACAATAAATAAATAAATAAATTTGGCACTTGACTGTGAACCATTCTTTATTCCTATTTATGTTTCTGGTTTATGTGGATTTCCTAACCGTGTATTCTGTCTTTTGCCTATTTACTGAGGTCTTACTGATTTCCATCATTTCTAATGTCTTGATGTTTCTGAGCAACAGCTTTCCAACATATTTGTTGCAAGAATTTTTTACTGTTCTATTCCATTTTTATCATCACTACTAGTGCTTCTATTTTTTTTTTACTTCTTTTACTTCTATTTATCAAGTTTGTCAAGTTATTTTTGTGGCATGTTTTATTGCTTTGCTTAGCCTTTCCTTTCCTCAAAATATGTTTTCCATTAATATTGTCTTTCAACTGATGAATGGATAATGAGGTACAACATGAAATAAGACTCAGCTGTAAAGAAAACCAAAATCATGAAATATGCAGGTAAACTGACAGAACTAGAAAGGATCCTACTGAGTGAGGTGACTTAGACCCAGAAAGACAAAATTACATGTTCTCTCTCATCTCTAGCTCCTACTTCCAAATCCTCAAATGAGAACCTATAACCTGGAGTAAATGCACTCAAGAAAGTAAAAGGGACTATGGCAGTTAGAAGAGCACTAGAGTGTCTATTAACAAAGTAAAGGGGTTTGAGGGGAACTGGAATATTTGGGGAAGAAACTTTATTTAGAGAGGAAAGAGGGAAATTAATAAAAAAGGAGAGGAGGAGAGGAATATAAAGTAATGGAAAGTGTGTCTGAAAGGGCCATAAGGAATCAAATTATTTGTTTGCCTAAAATTAAAATAATACATATAAGAGTATGTGTCTACTATGGTGATATTTTATTTGTGCTGAAATGTGATTTTATTTGTATGTTAATAAATAAAGTTGCCTGGGGGTCAGAGCTAATAGCAAGCCATAGCAGAAGCTGGGCCCTGGTGGCACACACCCTTAATCCGATCACATGGCAAGCAAAGCCTGTGTGTTCAAGAACCGAGCCAGCTTGGAGACACACGCCTTTAATCTCAATACGAACCATAGAGACCTGGAGGTCTGTATAGATAAGCAGTGATGAAGGAGGTCGTGTGGTTAGGTTTACAACCGATGAGAAGGCAGAACAGAAAGTCAATAAAAAGACAGACACACAGGAAGTAGGTCTCTTTTTCAAAGGGGAAGGACAGCAGTGGCAGCAAGGGGTAAAAAGGCAGTTTTAGTCTCAGCTCTTAGCTACTGCTCTGACCTCAGGCTCTGCATTTGGCTCTGTGTTTCTTATTTAATAAGACCATTACATCTACAGTCTACCATACACATAAATAGTTCAAATGAAACCTTCCCACGTGTACTCATGAAGCTTCTCCGAAGAGTCATAGATTATCTAACAAAAACCTCAATAAGGGATGAGAAGCTCCCTTTTGAGTTGCTGGCCAGAAAATTCCAAGAGATACTCAAAACCAGCCATGAGGTTACCTAAAGAAGACCTGAACAAAGATGACAACCCTGGACATGGTAACATGGGATGGTGTGAGAAGGGGAAATTCACAAAGCTCAAATCTAGACAAAAAACTTCAGCCAACTAAGGAATGGTTAGAGTTGGAAGGAATAGTCTTCCCTAGGGAAGAGAGTTGCTATTGATTATCCAATAGCAAATGGTCATCCCTGAAATCATATTCATACAGGTAACATATAGACTGAACATTTTTATTTACATACTTAAAAATATATGTTTATGTATCATATCTTATTACAATATTTTTAAAAGGCTATAAATTTGAGAGACAGCAAGGGGGATACATGGGAAAGGCTGCAGAGAGGAAAGGAAAGGAGGCAATTAAGTGATCATGTTTTAATATTTAAAAAAAGAGATAGTAAAAATGAACTAAGAATAGTTTCAATTAAAAAAAATCCTAGGCCAATTATTACTTAATAGGCATAAATTGTGACTAATAAAAGTACTGTTTATTTCCTTTGAGTAAAATCAATTGTTGTATACTTGATATTCTCTTTTTATCCCCTAAAAATCTGTGAAATATTTTTTTAGTTTCCCTTCATGTCACATTCATTTATTCTTCTGTTGTCTACTAAGGCCATATTCTTTTAATTATTGTGGCCTGACTATATGTATGTGTCTTTGTTAGGGTTACTATTGTTATGATGAAACACCATCACAAAAGCAAGATGGGGAAGAGAGGGTTTATTTGTTTTACACTTCCACATCACAGTCCATCACTTGAAGTATGTCAGGACAGGAACTCAAACAAGGCAGGAGCCTGGAGGCAGGACCTAATGCAGACCACAGAGGGGTGCTACTTACTGGCTTGCTCATCATGGCTTGCTCAACCTGCTTTCTTATAGAAGCCAGGACCACTAGCCCAGGGATAGCACCACCCACAATGGGTTAGCCCTTCCATATAATCACTAATTAAGAAAATGTCCTACTGCCTTGCCTACAACCAGGTCTTATGGAAGCATTTTCAAAATTGAGGTTCCCTCCTCTTTGATGATTTTAGCTTGTGTGAAGTTGACATAAAACTATCCAGCACAGTATGCTACCAATACATACTTCCCTCTACTGGTATACACATTTTACATATGTCTTTTAGACCTATATAATATTTGTTATGCATCTTAATATGTGTGTTTATATGGACATGTACAAGCCATGGCATATGTGAAGACATCAGAGAACAACTTGAGGGAGTCAGTTCTTTCTGTTCATCTTATGGATCCCAGCAATTCAATTTTGTCATCAGATTTGACAGTAAGTACTTTTACCTGATGAGCTATCTCACCATGCAAATATTTGCTATTCCTGCCCAAATATTTTTCCAAATAGCCCAGAAAAATAATTTTATTATGCAAGTTGAAAGACATCCTACTGGGTCTTTTATTGCAATTATGGTTGAGCTATAATTAATCCAGGAATAATTGATGTCTAAATAATATTGTCTCCTCAGCTAGGAATGACTATGTCTTTACATTCTTTTCAAACTCCCTTCTGACCTTCAACCAAGTAATATAGTTAGTTTTCTATGAGCTTTCCATCTTACTTTTTGGTTCCCTCAAAAGCAGCCAGCAGGAACAAGCTCCTTAAATCTAATGATGCATTAGAAGAGAAAGGTGATCATTTATTATATTTTCGTGTTGAAATCATTTAAACAACAGCTTTTCTTTTTGAACTATGAAAGATTTCAATTTCACACACACAAAAAAAAACTAAAAAAAATGGGCAATCAGATAAATTGTTATTAAATAGAGCTTTCACAAAAGTAGATGCTTAAGACTTAAATTGTTTGATTGAGTTGGAAGATATTAATGAAAACTAAAATAATTACAAAATTTGCAAAGCTGAAAATAATTCCTAGATATTTTTGTGATTGTCTAGGTGGGTGCCACCCACATTACAGCCACTTGTGGCACCCAGAAACTTAACGTGAGAATGTCATGACAACATCCCTACAAGGATAAAACACACAACAGGTTCCAAAGGCCATAGAAATATTTAAATATCTCATCAATAATCTTTCAGTATTATATATATATTTATTAATTAGCATGCCTTATTAGAATTCATTCACGGTCTCAAATCGTCCCCAGAAAACACTAATTAACCTTTCCTGATATTCAGCCTGTACACACCAAAAAAGAGATTGTGTCTCTGGATGGAAAGGTCAAGATTTGGTAAAAGTCAATGACAATGCTATGAAAGTCTGCTTGGAAATAGTGTGAGAATGCTCAGAAAATGTAAGTTTTATATTTGGAACTTAGACATTAGCTGCATGCTGTGCAGGCTCATCAGGAAGAGACACAGTGTCAAAGACAGACACAGGAAGTCACTTTATGAGACACCAAGAAAATTGCCATGTCCTCAGATACCAGATATGTCAAAAATCACTAAATAGTAAAAGCTGGAACCCTACATTGTCATCTTCCTAATTACAGAGGGAAAAAAATCAATAACAATGTGATTGACTAATTACAAGAAACATTTAAAGGAATGAAGATTCCTTGGCAAGTTTCATGATGAAGACATTGTGCAGCTCTTTGTTACATATTTTAAACTTCTGTTAAATTACTATATTGGAAATCTCACAGTGGCTTATGTGCATCATCTCTGGCTATTCAAATACTGAGCTTATAATGCTTCTGTGGCATAGAACACTTTCTACCTAATGCAGTCTGCAACCTCCTGCTTGACGGTGTGTCCTCTTTATTTGTTGTCCCCCATGATCCGCCCCCTCTTTACCAGATACCTAATAGGAGACCAAATACACAGCAGGCTACCCATTCCTCTTTGTAGAATTAGGAGTATGAATGATTGGATGAATTGCTGTGGTTTCCTTTGGGCCTAAAGCATGCCTTTTACATTTTCTTAAAGGATCAGTCAGATGCTGTTCAAGGCATTCCAGTGGGCTATCTAGGTGCAAATCAGTATGATGGTTCAAACAAGTTAATGTCTCTTCAGAATGTACTTAAGCTTCCTAGATATGTATATTTAAAATGCACATAGTGTACTAAATTTCTTCTTAAATTGTAACAGACACACACACAAAAATTATACTGGGATTCTTCTACTCAAAAAATACAATTGGATGTTACTGTCTTACACTCAATATTTTAAAATAAAACAAATTCAAATTTTTGTTTTTCACCTAAATTTTAAATGCATCATTTCTTCAAAAATTGGACATATTATACTGAGATCCCATATATCAAATAACAAAAAATACTTGTAAATCACAAAATGAGTAATATATGTAAATTTTATTTTTCATATCACATTTGTCTGTTAGAAACTTGTCTTAGTTTTGAGTTTTTATTGCTGTGAAGAGACATCATGACCATGGCAACTCTTGTAAGAAAACATTTAACTGAGGGGCAGATTTACAAGTTTCAGAGGTTCAGTCAAGTATCATCATGGTGTGGAGCATGGCATGTGCAGGTACTAGAGCGATAGTTGAGAGTACTACATCTTCCAGGCAACAGTATGTTGACTGAGATATTGGGTGTATTCTGAGCAGAGGAAACCTCAAAGCCCACCCCTAGTGACACACTTCCTCCAACAAGGCCACACCCACTCCAACAAGGCCACACATTCTAATAGTACCACACCGTATGATAATATGGGGGCCAATTACATTCAAACTACCCACAGAACTATTTCCAGACAAACTATTTTACTCAGACCTTCATCAACAGGCTTCTTGTTACAGAAATTACATTTCATAGACAGAGTTCAGGTATTTCTCTACAGTATTAGACAATGATATAAGCCTTGTATAACTCCCTGAAGCCCAAGTAACTCCACTAAAGAATAAAATTAGTCAAAGATATTTATTATCCGTAGTGTGTGTGTGTGTGTGTGTATGTGTGTGTGTGTGTGTGTGTGTGTGTGAAAGGTAGCCATGCAGTTCCTCTGGTGATTACTATATGAATATTGAAGGCTTTTTCCCCGAGTTGCCCAGAAATTTTGCCAAAATGTGCTAAAATAAAATCACTTAGAGAACATGAGCTAGCTTTGAGATTAATAAAACCACTAACTTCATAGACTTTCACAACTGATGAGATGAAAACAACAGTTTTCAGCCATCAAGTATTTCAATACTTCACTTTGTTTCTATGATACATTTATCCCATATGAAATATTTACGAAAGGAGTTGTAATGGCCTTCTGGGGCAAGAAGAATAAGATTTCTGTAGGAAATGTTAAAATTAAGTTTGATGAGATGCGAAGTTAGAGACGGCTGTTAAGAGGTGGCCTGCCGCCACAGGGTGGGGCTTTGTTTTGGTTCCTGGTAGAGCTGCAGGTGTTTGGCACCAGTTAATATCAGAGCCAGCTGTGATATTTCAATAATCCTGGTGTTTCCCTCACAATATTTCTCAGAAGTGATGCTTCCTGGTGATGTCTTACACCTGACATATTCAACTTGTGTGGTACAAATGGAAAACTATGGTAAATAACACCCATTTGTGACACCCTTTGCCCTTCTTCCCCACCCTCAGGTCATAAAATCAAGGACAAAGAAAAACATGGGTGCTGTAATCATTCATAGTTTTTAACTAAACAGTTCAATATAAGATGATGATACTCAAGAATGAGCAGAAACAGTCTGCAGGACAATCGTGAGGCAGGCTAGAGTGCTCCTTGATGCTCAGTGTAGATAACAGTGCTTTAAAACCCTCTCTGTAGTAGAATCCATACCTAGTTTTGCAAGAATTTGAATAGTTTCTATTAAAAGCTGCATTTTCTTTTAAGTTTGTTTGAATTGGAAACCCGCAAACCACAATGCAAATTATGCACATGTTCCCAAGGGCATGTTCATAGGACCATGCTGAGGTCATCTAGTAAGCTGTTGAAATGTTTTAAGAATTCCTTTAATGTACTGCACAATCTTGGCCTGATTTAAAAAAAAAGAGAGAGAGAAAGAGAGATCTTTTAAGAATGCACTTGGGAAACAGGCTAGCTATTAAAATCTACATGTAGATAATCAATATTACACTGTACAATGCCTCGAGCATCCCTCAGATAATTTGTCATTGGGGGAGGAATACAATAAAGCTATCACTTCAAGAATTTTCAATCAAAACACCTCAGGAATATTGGTACATTCAGACAAAAGCCCTGTAGTATTTGTGATTACCAGTGGATACTCACAGGGATCACTTGAGCCATTCAAAGATCAGATCATTTCATCAAAGGAGTAAGAGGTAGACAATCTTCCATTTAGCCAAGACAAAGTATATCATCTGTTGCCTTTCAGTTGAGATAAAAATTCAAGTTTTCTTGGAAAACAGGAATGTGAGGAAATTGTTGGGTTGGAAATAGTTGTTTTTTTTTCCTTTTTTTTCTCATTTTTTTTTATTATTATTATTTTACAACACCATTCAGTTGAACATAATAGCCACAGATTCCCCTGTTCTCCCCTTCTCGCCCACCCCTCCCCCCAGCCCACCCCCCATTCCCACCTCCTCCAGATCAAGGTCTCCCCGGAGGACCGGGGTTGACCTG